ATCTGGGGAAAGATTGCTATTAATAAATAATTTTTTTAATGTTTGCTTGCAATAAAAAGCTTTATAGTAAACTCCCCAGCTCTTGATTGCCTTCCTAAATCAGTTCCTTTCAAGTTTGACACAGCTGAAGGATGTGGTCTTGTACAGAAGAAGCACAGCCTTCATCTAAACAAGCTGGTGGGAGGACAGGGAGGCAAAGAGACTGTGCCAGTACTTCTCCCATGGAAAAGCATGCAAATACATTGTTTTACATTGTAATCATTGGTACTATTTCACCTCACTCTCTAAAAATCGTGTGCTATGCTCTTTCTAAAGCTGGTTAGCAAAAAGCACAAACATGTTCAAGAAATAGATGTGAGAGTATTGAAAAGTTGAATAAGCTGAATTTATTTCTAGTAAGTTTGAAAAGGAAAACAGGTGTATTATGGTTGGAAGTTCTGCACTTGTCTCTGCTGTTCTACCTGTCAATTACTCAGATACTTGAATAGCATCTTTTCTTAATCTAAAACTGTGGTATGTTTAATTCTTTCCAGTCAGTGCTGATTGCCATGTTGCTCTTTGGAACACCACACTTGGAGACGGATGCTCTACCGTGGCGCTCACCTCTGATCAGGTATGCTGTGCCTCTCCTGGAAATCCAAACCCAGAGCTTCAAGCAGCCAGATTAAGACTAGAACAGCCCATTTTGTGTGTCAAGTTTGACCTCCCATGCTGCCCAAGCCAAAAAACACCCTAGTTCAGAAATTTTCTGTCTTCAGGCTATTACTGGTCTCTGAGCCAGAGCCTGGCAGGTTGGAAACCTCAGCTTTCAGTTCCCTTTGGCAGTTACAAGAAGGTGGCAGAGAAAAGGCTCTCTCAGGGCTCTCTGCAAATGCTGACATGACTTTAATGAGCAAGTGCATTCCTTGGGCCGTGCACAGCTGTGAGCGCAGCAGCAAAGCAGGCCAAGATTCCTGTGAGGACCTGTGGCTTTCCAGCAGGTTGAAATCATGTCTGCCTGTACATGCTGCCTGCTGACTCTTAGAGCATCCTTCAGCAACCTGGTGGGGAGAGAGGAAACCCTGGTGCCTTCGTGGCTATGACAGACCCCTCCAGGGACATGAGGTCTATTTGTCTTTGCAAACCAGGGTTCCCCCTTTCCATACACTGGGAGCTATGGAACTGCTGTGCTGCACCAGCCTCGGGGTGTTTTATGGCTCATCTGCTCTTCAGAAAATAGATAAAGTGGAGGGGGAAAAGATACCAGGTGCCTTCTAGAAGGTTGCTATAAGTGCTTTGCTTTATTGATGCTGCATTACAAATGAGAACTACAAAAGGTGCAGAAAGCATCAGAATCTTGCCTACTGCAGAGTGCACACAAGTGAAATAATCCATGATACAGCAGTACCTTTCCCAGGTCTCCCCAAAGCCACATAAATCATCAGTGGACAGTATGTAAAGAAAGAAAAGAGGTGTATTTTACAAAAACAACAAACATGGTTCGTCCCTTCCTCTACTGCAGTTAGGTCCTTCATTTGGTGCAGTGAGGTATATCAATGAAAGGCTTTTGAGAGCAGGCAGGATTAAAGGGATGAAGCTATTATGAGATATAGAGGGAGCAGAACCAGTCTGGAGACTCGGTCCATCCTGATGGGCACTAGTATGACTCACTGCAAACTAGGTAAAAGCTCAGCTGCATTATGGATTTAAAAATAACTAAATAAAAAAAGCTAAGAAATAATGCAAAATGAAGTGAAAACTATGTGTTGCTTGTGGTGTTTTTTTCCACTTGTGTCTCCTCCTATCCAGACAAAGCCAGCTACACTGATTTACGTACCTTGCAAACACTGTGACCATTTTCTTACAGCAATTGGACCTTCCTTCTTTCCTGGTATCCCTGTGTGTATCACCTGAGAAAATGCCCTCCAAAGAGATGCAAAAAACATTTGTCCTTTGTTGCCTGCAGAGTTACATGATAATGGTGAGACTCTGGGGCCAGAGCTGGTTCTGGACTAGGATGCGGCATTAACTTTCCCAGTCATTCTTGGGTCTCTAGGCAGCATTTAGGACTTCTCTGCTAAAACCATCCTTTGTCTCCCCACCTTCTTGCATGTCAGCAGAGCAGTGGGTGGAAGTCCCTGGACCAGCTGGGCTGGTAGTGGAAGTGTATTAGGAGCCCAGATCTGCCAGTTTCCCTTCTCCAGGGATCACTGCCTGTTGCTGCTGCAGCCTCCCATGCTTCTGAAATACAACAACTAACCACTTGGAACTGTGCCTGTGTGTAAAGGCATCATTACAAAAATCAGAGTCGATTCTGCCCATCCACCAGAGAAAACATGGCATCTTGGGTTTGTTCTCAAGCCCGCAGTCTGAGATTTCCAAGCTAAGCCCATGATTTGTCTGCCAAACTGCAAAGAGGCTTTGAAAGCAACAGAAGACATTTGAGACAAAGCAAAGGTCCAGTTTCATCCAGACTTCGACCCTCTGGCCAGGACCATGCTCAGAGGCGGCTTGTGTCTCTCCTTGCAAGTAAAGGCAGTCCTGGACAAGACAAAAGGCAAGTCAGCACATTCTGAAGAGTCTCCTGATCTCAAAAAAATTGAGCTGTTCTGGTCTGGCCCCATGGTGACCCCTGACAGGATAAGGCAGAAAAGAGCGTTTAAGAATACCTGTGCCTGGAAGCATCATCATCACCCTCGTGGTGCTTCCAGCACTTCTGCATTGTTCCCTGGGGAATGCAGGCAAGAGATTTGGCTGGAGTTTCTTTGCTTTTTAATCATCTCTAAATGCCTCCCATCACAGCAGCTTACACAGCAAAGAATAGAAAAGGACCAAAGCTCCCAGAGGCAAAATTTCCAGCGGTGACAACCAGAAGCCACAGTGAAGTCAGTCCTCACCCTTCATAGGGACATCTTTTAATGCAAAGAAAACCAGAGGTCTGTGGCAAGTCTTGGGACAGGGACAGGAAGGCAGACACATCTTTTTCCACCTGTAATAAAGTACATGTCCAGAAGAAACATCCAGCCCTGCATCTGTATAAACCCCTTCCTGATCAACCACAAAAATCCCAAGAGAAAAAACTTTCTGTGAAAAAATAATTTTTTTTTGCTTGTTGCAAAATTTTAAAAGAAACTGGTTTAAAACATGTATTTTTAATGGCCTAAATCAGCAATGCCACTTTGAGGTGGAAAATCTTTTCCAGCCCAAGTCATCCAGGGCAGGAGGTTGGGCTTGGCGAGGTCCTTACCCCACAGCAAGACAAAGGTCTTTGCCATGCCAGTGGAGCTGCACAGATTTGTGAGATTAGGGATGCTTAGGCACTGTTTTACCCCCAGTTCCTCTACTTTCAAATTGGAACTGCATTTTACCTGCCATTTGCAGTGATGCATGATGGTAATATGCAATGAAAAGCACATCATCGGTATTCCAAAAAACTTAAGAGGAGTTGTATCTACACTGAGAAACCAGACGAGCACTATCTATTAGGAAACCTAACCTAAATAAGACATTTTTTTTCTCCTTTTTGCCATCTTCAGTTCCCATCCAGCTCTCAAGTCTCTGGGAACAGCCCAAACTGGTAGAAGCTGAGCAAATCACAACAGCTGTTGGGAAACACCCCCAAATCTGGCCAAGAATCACTGGGCATGTATTTACCTTGGTGATTTCAGGGGGTATCTGCCACAGGATTGAGGTTTTGTGGTTGTGTTCAAGGGCACTTTACCCTCTCTTGCAGTTTTTTGAGCTCCAAAAGAGGAGCTGCAATGCACTCTGTTTCTCCACAAGGAGTGGCACTTGGCGTGGCCTTCTTCCCACCCAACTCTCACCCCAGGAGCAAAAATAAATGAAAAGTAAAAGTCAGGCTTCATATTCTGGATGGATATTTATTTGCTTAACAGATTTTCTTTTTTTTTTTTTTAATTTTTTCTTTTTTGGTACAAAGCATCCAGGAAAGCTTTTACTTCTCTTTTTAAAAAATAAAAACTAAGTTTCTTTTAAAAAAAGACACATGAAAAGGAAAAAAAAAATTGCAATTGCTCTGTTTAAATTTTGCCTTCCCATCCCACCCACTTCCCTTCCCCCCCTTTCTTAATTTGGACTGATTTTCATTCTTTTCCATATATATTTAATAAAATAAATAAAGGATTTTCTTTGTTGTGTATTGCAGTGCCATTTTTTTTAAACAAAGGCTTCATGGCTCAACATTGCAAGGTAATAACAAACAAAAGGATTATACATTAAAATCCTCCCCCTCTCAAGACTCCCCCTAGCCCTCCCCTCCAAACCACGAAATAGAATACAATTCAAGTAGTCTTTTTTTTATGTTTTAAATGTATGGATATATAAGACAAAGCAAGTACAGAACTGGTTAACAGAGTGTCCCCATTTTATTAGCAAGTGAGAGTATATCAGGGAGACGTAATTGATTCCCCCCTTTTTACGGTTCCTAGACAGATAATATATATTACTTTAAACCCAACCTATTTTACAGCCCTCTGCCCACCTCTCAAACCCATACACTCACTGAGTCCCGAGCCTCAAGCCTCAAGCCAGAGACTTGCCTTTCCCCCCCCCCAATCCCAAGCAGCGGTCCCAGCCCTGCAGCCCCCCTGGTGCAGCCCCCCTCCTGCACAGCCCCTGGGAGGGGAGCGAGATGAGGAGGGCGGGAGGCGTGGGGCAGGGAGAGAAGGGTCCGGTGAGAAGGACGCAAAGGGCAAGAGAAGGAAAAGGAGATGGCAGGGCACGGAACTGCTGCTGCTTCTGCAGGGGCCTGCTGTCGAGGACTGCCCACCTGCCCACTCGCTGGAGCATCGGCGTGCGAGCAAGCTGTGAGGGCGGGGAAGAAGCAGTAGGATCCCCGCGGCTCAGGAAGCCAAGCTCTGCCAAGGGTCCATGCAGAAGCAGGGCCTTGAGTTGTAACCGGCAACACCTTCACCATTCAAAATAGTTTGTCTCTAGAACGTTTCCCTTTTAGTTCTAAATTGCGGTGGTTTTGTTGTTTTGTTTTGTTGCTTGTTTTGTTGTTTGTTGTTTTTTTTTTTTAAAAAAGGATGCGTGTTGATGTATTTCTGTGTGTGCGTGCATCTGTGTACATGAGTAACAGCCAACTAGCTCATATGGTCATGACCAAGCTGTATTTCAGAAGAGAAAAGAAACACATTTATCACACTTTTCCTAAAACGAAAAGCTAAAATTTCAAGTTCAGTATTCGCTATCTTGTCTTCCCTCCCCACCCTCCCTTGCTATTTCTGGGTTTTTTCCCTTCCAACTTACTTTAGCACCATAACACATTTTAAACATTACAATCCCTCTTCAGATACTACACAAAATGTCCCATAAAAATAGTGCTTTTTTTGCCAAAAAAGTTATATAATATATTATATATATAAATCAACTAAATCCGTGGCAAATGTGCAATGCAGACGCCTTCTCCATTTAAAGTGAGCATCAGCTCACTTTTTTCTTTTTTTTCTTCTTTCCCCTTTCCTTTTCCTTCTCTCTTTCTCGCTTTCTCTCTCCTCTTCCTCTCTTTCTCACATCATCGGTGATTTCAAAAAGGTGCAAGTCGATTTGGAATCTTGTAATGAAGCACACACACAAAAACGCAGATGGGGGCTCCTCGGAACTTCTTCTAAGGTACATTTTTTGTTTAAAGGTGCAAAAGAAAGTTATAAAAATAAGAAAACCAAAAGAAAAAAAAAGAACAAAATAAGAAGAAAAAAGTGGGGTGGGAATGAGGCAAAAAAATTTTATCCCTCAATATTTCTCCCCATTTTATTGTGGTTTTTTTTTCACTTTATTGTCAAGAAAGACATGGAATGGACTCTTCACGAGAAAAAAAAGGTAAAAAAAAATTTTTAATTTCATATCCTTTTTCCCTCTTGCTCTTTCTTTTGTCTTCTGGTGTTGGCACCGGGGATGTCACGCAGCACCCGGCAGCAAAAAGTTCAAGTGCCAAACTGTCCCTTTGCAAGTACAGGCTTGGAAATACTGGGGGCACGGGGGAATGAAACAGGTGTGGGAAACGAAACAACCCTCCCCCCCACCCCTAAAGGACGATGCCGTGGGAGCGGTGCTGCTCGCCACCGCCGCTGCCGCCGCCATCCCCTCCTTGCTGTGTCAGTTGTTTGGTTGGGGCCAGAGCGGCGTGAGGGTGCCCCGCCGCCCCGCTCCTTGGCTCAGCGGCCCCGGGGACGGAGGGGCTTGGGGGTCGGGAATCACCAGTCCTCCCGCCCTCCCCCAGGAGATCAAAAATCGAGACAGCTGGTCAGGGTTCATTTCTGGGGGCCAGCCGTCTCCGGGGAGGCTCGCACCGCTGGAGGCCTCTGGCTGGGCAGGGAGATGAGGGGACGATGCAGCACCTTGGCTTCCTCAGCTGCTTGCAGCCCCTCTGCCTGCCACCGGTACTGGCGAGCCCGCAGGATGCTGGGCACTTCCCGCTGCAGCCGCTGGGAGCTCTTCTTCTGCCACAGGTCATACTTGGAGTATTTGGCGTGCGAGGGCTTCTGGAAGCTCTCCTGCGAGGAGAGGGATGGCAATATTAGCCTCTGCTTAAGCCTGCTTGCGCTCCAGAGGGTGTTTCCCCTCTTGGACTTCCATCCATCCCATAGAAATATTACCCCATCCCTGGAAACAGTCACGGTCAGGTTGGATGGGGCTCTGAGCAACCTGATCTATTTGAAGATGTCACTACTTATTACAGGGCGGTTGCACTAGATGACCTTTAAAGGTCACTTGCAACCCAAACAGTTCTGTGACTGTGACCTAGCCCACCTCTGGTTCCCCACTTTAATAAAAGCTGATTTTTGGCAGGCTCGTTGTTATGACTTGTCAATGGTGGCTGTCTCTCAAAGGTTCTGCAGAAGCAACAGACCTTGCAGCTGGGGTTTGTCATCTCCCACCCATGGCCTTCCCATCTTTTCTCTCGCTATTTATTTCAGAGAAGGACCACCATCCTGGCACAGCCTCCCTACCTTGTTGAGGGCTGGCAGGCCTGACAGGGAGGTGGCGGAGAGGTCACGCTCCGACTTGACGGACTTGGCGCAGTATGTTTCCAGCAGAGCCAGGTCACAGCTCCGAAAGCAGCACTCCTCCACAATACCCCGGTTGATCCGCCGGTTATTTCGTCCCACCGGTCTACCTGCAACAGCAGAGACCCTGGCGTTAGCCACCAACCTGGTCAGGACCCTCTTCCCACCTCCATAGCACCTGTCCCCTTGCAAGCATCCCTCCACCAGCCACCAGAGACTGGTGGGTTCAACACACTTCAAAAATAGCAGCGCTTCTCCCAAACCAGCTGACATGCACCCACAAACCAGCCAAGTTTCATGCTAAGACTTTCCCAGACAAATGCTATTGATGCCAACAGGTCTCCCCACATGCCTCCAGCTGTAGTTTAAAGGCACTTTGAATGATGGGGATTTATCTCCCTCCCGTATCTCTGGCATGGGTGGACTTTTTGAGCGCAGCTAAGGCAAGGAAGCTCAAGCCCAGCCTGACCGCCAGCTCTGAGTTGATTACTGTAACTGTCTCAGATGTTGATCCTGGCAAGCGGATTTTATTAGAAAGAAGCAGCACAGCATTGCAGCTGCCAACCTCCCTCTGTCGGGTCAACATTCAGGCAGGTGAAGTGAACCAAGGCGGCTAAATTTTACCAGATGGGACATCTCTGAGACAGCTGCAGAAAGAATACAGGCTCCCACACCCGCCAAGAATAGCTATTAAACTTAATCTTTTAATAAGGGTTCCTCTCCCATTTCTGCCTGCAGAAGGATGCAAAAGCCCATATCTGGTGCAGCAAGGATCAAGTGCATTTCATATCACTACTTAACGATGACCAAAGTGCTCCAAAGGAAAAGCTTACATCACTTTTACTGTTTCCTCCCTCTCTTGAAATAAAAGAGACAGGTAAATTCGATTTTCTGATGCAAAGCAGATTTACTTGGGAATTGTGACTTCCAAAATGTAAACTGGCTAAAACCAAAAGGATTTTCTCTATTCTTTTGCACACAGCATATTATGCTTTTGTGCTGTTACAGAGTTTGCTGCCAAGGTTCTACACACTGCCTCTTCCCAGTGCAAGGTGCTCCGAGCCAGGAAAGCTGAGGCGAGCACCAGTGGGGCTTGGAAACCAGGAGAATTTAAGCATGGGAAAAACTGAGAGCAAGTGGTGTAAGTGCAGTGCTCACCAAGCCGTGCCAAGCCTCCACACCCCAGCTGGCCTGCAGGAACACCCAAAATGGTCCACACTGGCCCTGTGCATGACCCATGATGCCCCTGCTTGCGCTCCAGATGAAGCAGGCACTCAAGTATTAGGCCTTGGTGAAGATTTAGGGATCTCGGCTTAGGAGGGGCTGACCACTTTCCCTGGGGCGTACCCCAACCTGGGTGCCCACCCAAAGTGCCTTGAGACAAAGTACAAAGCACAGGAGTTATCTATGCATACTGTACAACCCCACCTGTGAGAAGGAGCCCCAGAAGTGCAATGTAGATATGCATGTGGGATGCAGCCCTGTCCGTTCAATGCAGCCCCGTGTCTGCAACACAGACAGGCATATTCAACACAACTCTCCATGCACAACACTGCCCCATGTGTGCAATGCTGGCATGCAAAACTCCACGACCATGCCTTGCTGCTGCCTCTGGAAAAGCCCTGGCATCAGGGCACCCATTCTCTGTTAAAACTGGTCATGATCCCATATCATGGAGCCATCTGCTCCATGCTGGTGCATTGCCACCATGCTCAGGGGTCACGATAACAAACATGGCACCAAGGTGATGGGGCAGCTCACTCATACCATGAGACCCACCCTTGGCAGTCATTTTAAATGCTCTATTTTCCACATTTGTCCGTCCTGTGCCACCACCTTTCTTTTTACTTTTTCTTTCTCTCTAGAAAAATTTCAGGCACAACCTTAAACCAGCCCCCCAGGAAGGTGAGAAGGATGGTTCACTCTTGGTAAAGATCCAGCAAAGGGAACATCATTAAGAGTTTAATTTTCTCTATATAAATACTTGTGTCCAAAAAGCACACTGGATTGGGATCTCCCTTTAGAGGCAGGGCAGGTGTGTTGGGTGCCCACAGCTGCACAAGCAATGCCAATGTAGGCAGTCTGGGTGATGATGCCCAAAGAAGACAGAGGAGAGGAGCCAGCCTGGGGCCAGCTGCACGTATTCTTCTCTATGCATGCAATGCTCAGTGAGGTCCATGGAAGATGTGCACCACACCAACACCCTGTGCTGCTTACGGCCCCTGCTCAGCACCTATCAATCCCAGTGCCCAACTTGCAGGCAGGACAGGCTGCTGAAGCATTAGATTGCTCCAGAAAGGCATTGTGAGCATGGGCAGAAGGAGAGTTTGGAAGGGAAAGAGAAAAAAATTCAAGTCACCCCTCCTTGCTAGCACTTCCCCAGAGGGCTGCATTCACACTCCCGCTGAACAGAAGGTTGCACAAGTGATGACACACACGGTTTGAGGAGAAGTTGAGGTTTCGAAAGGTTACACGTCTCCTCTCAAAAACAGAAGTTTCCCACTTGCAGCTATGTGCTTGTTTGGAAAGAAGAGGGAAGGAAAAACACAACAAGGAAAGCGGGACTATATTCACTGCCATGCCATCAAGGTCAGTCTGTGGCATGGGTACACATGGGAAGATCATGTCACCATGTGTTAGCAAATGCCCAGCGTGGCACCATCAGGGTGAGCTCCCAGCAGGGACCAACTGTGGTGCTACGGCCTTTTCCTCCCTGACCACTCCCCTGCCCAGCCAGTGGGCACACATATGGCCCCCAGACCCAAATGTGCTGCCCTTTCTCTCTTGCATAAAACTGCCACACGTCCTTCCCCTTGGTGGCACCACTACCAGCTCCACCACGACTGTCCGACAGGACACATTTCCCATTACATAATTGTCCATAGGGATCTTGCCAAATGCCAATACAATCCACTGTGGGAGAGTTACTTTAGGAAAAAAAATAAGCAAACATAGCAAACAGTGATTTAGTCACAGAAAGTACCTGGAGACAACAACCCAGGAAAGAAACACCAGGACATTGCTGGCTAACAGCAATATCGCTGCTGACCTGGATTGGGAAAAGTGTTTGTTCCGTAACAATTTACACAGGGACTAAAGGTTGAATTTCCTGGCTTTTGCTCATGGGTGGCATCTCACTTTACTACCACTGCCAAACCCAAGGAAGGTTTCGCCGCTCTGTCTCTTACACCCAGGGGAGAACTGTGTGGGCAGCAGGCTGCGGCACCACTCGGGCACGCGAGCCACTTCCCATCGCAGCAATGACCGCTTCCTCCCGAGGAAACACGCTTCCTCTGGGCCTTCAATGAATGGCTAGGCTCTTTTTCCCAAAACTGTGCTTCACCAAAACTTCCTACAGTGCTGCTGAGGGTACAAGCCCTGAGATGCAAAGTCCAGTGATGCAAAGCCGAGTGGTGCAAAGCCCTTCTGCTGCCTGGGGTTATTGCAGCCTAGCAGCGGGCTGTCCCGACAGGGAGAGCTGGGCATCCCAGAAGCAGTATAAAGCCAAACCCAGAGAGGCCACATACCGTACCTGCAGCTCAGCCATGCCACTGTGCCAGAGGCAGTGACACTGCCATGGCCACGGGGGACAGGAGGGTCTCTTCCCCAGCATCAACACCCCACTGCTCTGGGCTCCCTACTCTCACCAGGGCCGGACAGATGCTGCGGGGAGGGGTGCACTGTGCTGGTGCCACCCTGGCTGGGTCCCCTCTCCTCCGGTCAATCAGGCGGTCAGCCGAGTGGAAGGGGACTTTGGGTGTAAACAGTCCCCGTGCCCCTGTCGCAGGAATGTTGGGAGCAACAAGGGGGCCTTTGTGCAGCACCGGGCCCCGTCCCAGTGCCCCCGGCCTGGCCCTCCCCCACCCCGGCACCGCACTTTCCCCCCTGCTTTTTCCTAGTATTATTCGGAGGAGCGGCGGGTGCGCAAGAATGTGCCCCGTCAGCACAAGCGGCTGCAAAGAGCTAAATTCTTATCAGCTGTTGGAAAGGAGGAAACAGGAGCTGTTGTTTACAGAGAAGTCGGCCGCCTCTCCCCCTACAGCCCCTTCTCCCTCCCTGCCAGCACTGCATGACAGCAACTTCACGGCCGAGGCTTCCTCTCGACCTACCCTGCATTTTCACTCGGGGCTAAACTCAGAATTCCTCCTTGGGCTGTGCCGCTGTCCCTGGGTGGGTGCTGGGGAGCAGGGAGAGCAGTCCCAACCCTACCACAGGGCCACTGCAGCTGCTGCAAGCCAACCCAACAGCCTTAAAAGTCACAGAGATGAGGCATCACTAGGGGAGAGTAAAGTGTGCTGGCTCCTGCTCCTGTTAGTGCAGCTCTTTTGCATCCCCAGCTCTTGGAGGCAGCTTCAACATTCTCGGCCTCATGCACCTGCCTCCCAGCCACAATGCCCCCCAGGGCATCTGGAGGCTGGGACTCACTCCTCATGCCAGTGGACAGATAGGCATTCCAGTTATCAGGGGTGTACCCTCCTCAGTCTAGTTTGCATATTTCCCCAGAACCAGATGTCTGGGGGATGAAACTCTGTGAGTACACTGCATCCCCTTGCATCCATGCAAAGAATGTTGTATTTCAGAGCTAGCTTTGCTAGCAAAGTGCTCACTTGTAAGAATGCAGAGCATCATAAGTACTTAAACAAGTGCTGCAGCAAAAAAACAATAATGGATTTTCATACCATTTTTTGGTGTTTTTTTTCCAATATTACCAATCAGATGTTTCAACAACCCTTGTCCAGCAAGCAGGATTCTTGTGTACCCATGGGACAAGGCTGCTCAAGTCATTTACTTCCCATATGAATGACTGCATTAGCACAGGCTGCTCATCAGGTCATACATTCCATGTTGTGAGGTGCTCAGCTTTAAGACAACTTTAATTGCTTTAATTGTGCAACATAACTGTACCCTATTGCATCTACACAGTGACAATAGTGTAGCCATGTGGGTTTAAGAGTGAAAATGAATGTTGTCAGGAGAATTAATCAGTTATGAGGCCAACTGATGGAGGTAGAGGGGGAAAAATTAAATGAAAAGGAGATGTCAAAACCCTTCATCAAGTAGAGGTATTGCCCAAACATCTTCAGCCCTGCATGGAGCAGACCAATCAGATGCTGAAGGGGTTAAAATATTGGACTGGGGGAACTTTGCTTTATCCCCAGCACCTGAGCTCTCTAGCAATATTTGTAAAGGTAAAGGGGGGAGTGATGGGAGAGGACAAAAAAAAAAAAAAAAAAAAGCAAGAATCCCCTTGCAAGCACCAGAATGGTCACTTGGCACCAAGAGACTTGTCTCCCTTCAAAAGTGATTTTATTTTGGCCTGGGCAGCTGGGTTATTTGAGGTGAAAGGAGGTCAGTTTGACCGTAAAACAAAAGCCCCATTCCCTTTCATCACCCAGAGAGAGGGAGGAGGGAAGAGAAACCATGGGAGGAAGACAGATGCTCCTCTACATCTAGAGGGAGAGGAAGAGCTAAGAGAGGAGGAGAGGAGTTTGTCTCCTTGCTGTGCCAGTAAGGCTAAACCCAGACCTGCCACCTCGGCTGAGTGCTGGCACAGAGCTCATTGGCAGAGGAAAGGCGGAAGAGGAAAGGCAGCTGACACACACACCCTCACCGCTCGGATCAGTCAGAGGAGGGAAGTGCATCCAGAGCACTCCAAAAGTGCTGCCTGCCCACAGCACCCAGGGAGCAATGAAAACATTTTGCTGCTCAGCTGTGATGGGGCACCGTGATTGCCCCAGCTAGTTCCAAAGCCACCTGCAGCCCAACCACCTGCCAGGAATTACACAGCCTGAACTCCGCTGTGGCTGGGTGTGGGATTCCCCGCACCTCTCCCTGCCCAACCTCAGCAGGCAGCACCAGTCAAGTCTGGCAAAGCATCCAGGCTGGGAAGGGACATCCAGAGTCGTCTCCCAGCTTTGCAGCAATCTGTTCCCTGCACAGGCAGACTGGATAAGAGCGAGGCTGGCTCTCAACTCCACTACTCAAAAAAAATGCCCTGTTACTTGAAAGTGACTTTTTAACACCTTTTCACAAGGCAGAGGCAAGACTGCCAAATACATTGCACCATGTGCAGCTGGTATTTCCATCCTCTTCCCCCCGTTTGATTTTGCATCTTTCCTGTAATCAGTTAGTCTGTGGTTCAGTCCTCAGTGGGGAGCAAGACACAGGGTCTTCCCTCTCCCAAGCAGAGCAGAGGACTGATACACCAAAACAAGGTGTCACACTCGAGGCAACTTTGCCCATGGATCACTCTGCTTCCATTGCTACTGGTTTACTCCTTGTCCTTCCTGTTTACCAGCTAAGCCATTGTACTGCTAGTGCCAATGGTCCAAACACCCAAAGCATCCTGGTGGAAAGCCTGCTGCAGCCAACTGGCCTGAAGCCATCTGCACTCTGCAGACAACGGCAGTGCTGCGATTTTTTTTATTGCACTAGCTGCACTGCAAAAGGATAAGACAACACTCTTCAGCAACAAGTTCACCATCAGGTAGCTAGGAGGTCATGAAGTGTGTTTTGGAGCAGCCTAGAAGGTGCTGGTATACCAAAGCAAAGCCTGCCCAGGAATGAGTGCTCAGCTCCCTGCCTGCTGTCAGAAGGAGCACTTAGGCTGCAAGGTTTCAAAATAAGCCAGGACCTAAGCTCAGCAGAGAGCTGGCTGCAGACATCCTCACTATTGTAATGACTTGCCCGCATCACTGGTGAGCCAGCCACATAAGGTTCCCCAGTGATATTCAGTTTCCCCAAGCATCATATGTGGGACCCAGTTACCCCATGGTATGAGGCAGTCCCCAAAATTGACGCAAGGTGGGTTTATGTCACCCTGAACATGTCCACTTTCTTGCTCTTCTCCTGGCCTACTGCCACGTATAAGGAAATCATGAAAAGCACCAGGCTGGGAAACCCCTCCTTTCCCTCCCGGCCTGGCTCCACTGAAGCAGGGCGTGGGATGGGGGCAGCATCCTGCCCGCTGCTGGCAGCTGCCCAGCACTTACTGAAATAGAAGCCCCTGTCCCCGCAGACGAACTGCAGTGTGTCCACCAGCTCCCCGCCGCAGAGGGTCTCCGCCGTGCCGTACGCGGCCGCTGAATCCAGTGCGTAGGCCAGGAAAGCCAGCAGCAGCAGCAGCATCCGCCTCGCCGCGCACATCCTCTGCACCTGGGGACAGAGGCACAGCATTAACACTGCCCAGAGAGACCCCCTGCGCCACCTCCCCCAGGCAATGCCCCCCGCCCACAGCACGCTGGGGGTTTGATGCCCAGACATGTCAAGATGCTGCAGGGAAGGACCGGCAGCGCTGCGACAGCCACTGGTGTGAGGCCGGCTCCTCGGTCTGCCGGGCAACCGCTCCGGTCAGACAAGGTTTGCATTGAAGCAGTTTTTCCATTGGAAAATCCCACTTCAACCTACCTCTAAAAGGTTTTTATTCCCTCTGCTCTTTCAACAGTGTGATTTTTTTATTTCTCCCCCCCAACCTTCACATGGGAGTTCGTTCGAATTATTATCAGTGGGGTTTTTTTTTCCTTCTTCTGATGAGAGGTTTTCATGCCATACCTGAAAACATGTTCCCTCAAAGCAAAAACAAGTGATGTTTAAACCTGTCCTAGAGATGCTTTTGAGGAAAGCTGGGAACAACAGCCTTTGTCCTGGGCATGCAAGGCTCGGACAGTCAAGGGGCTGATTGCACAAGCCATGTTTGCTGGCGAGAGTTGGGACTGAGAAGACATCCCTCAGGAACAATGCAGTGCCATGAGAAACACACTTGCAGCATCACCAAGGAGGGTCAAGGCAGTATCAGACAGTGCAGAGCACTAAAAAAGAAACTCCCTGGATATTTGCTATCCAGCCCAAAGATTTCCCCTGGCTCCTCTCCAGCAAACAGTTTTACCTCCATGTCAGCTTCTGTAAGTGTAAAGCAAGGCTGTTATGGCCCCACTGGATAGGACAAAACCCATGGATGGTTCAAGGTATTACAGTCCTCAATGATGAGCCTCAAAGTATACATACAGCCAAATAACACTGGTAACCAGACAGGTCAACTCAAAATGAAGAGGAGAAGTGTGTCAAAATAGCAGACTGTGTGTGGCAATCCTAATCTCAAGCAGAGCATCCCCTCTCTTTGCTAACATTCAACCAAGATGCTGGATTTCACATCCAGCTTTCATCACCATAGCATCTGAGCATCTCGAGAATAACATCAGTTAATGAATATTACCTCACCCTCCCGGGATGCTCAGAGATGGAGCTGAAGCCCAGGATAGATTAAATGACTCGCCCAAGGTCACAGGGGAAGTCTGCAGCGCAGCCAGGAAATTAGCCCAGCTCCCCCGAGGCCCCGCTACGGTCCTGCCAGCAATAAAGACACCCTTGCTACCGAATTTTTACTAGCACATAGCTCAAATCCTTGCTGCTAGAAATGCATCATGCTTGCAAGCTGCGGGCTCTACTGAGCAGCAGGAGGACAGGGACTAGCAGCAAGAAAAGCCAAGAAGTTACAAGGTCTGGGTGGGCTGTGGGGTGTATCCCCCCTGCTTGAATGTTGATGCTCAGCCTGTGCTGGCAGAGACCATCAAGGCTGACCAAAGCCCTCCTGGGCTCTGGAAAAGAGAGGCAGCAGCCCTGGGCACAAACTGGTCTCAAACCAGCAAGTGATGAGACCAGGACCAGCTTTTCCAGTAGCAGTGATCCCTTTGACATACTGCAGGGGCTTTATTCTGTATTAAAGTAGGAGCAGAGGGATGGCATCAGGCTGTGACACCATGCTGCCAAGATGCAGTGTTTTGCCACCAACACCTTTTCACTGTGATTTTTTTGTATCAAGTGGCCAACAGGTGTTCACTGGGTCTCCCTGACATGACCACAGCTGCACCTTCACTGCTGAGGTCATGGCCCTGGTGCAGCAGCATTATCAGCCAGATCTCCAACTGACAAGAGACCAACAATCCTGCTCCCTTCCCTATTTTTTCCCCCTCTTTTCCTCCTTTTTTTTACATGCATGTCCTGTTTGCTGGTGTCCCCAGGGCTTGGATAGTGTCAGCAGCTCATTGCCTGGGTGACAGATGTGTGCCAGCCAGCACTGCCACTGAAGGCACTGATGTAGGACTTCAGGACACCTACATAATCCCCTGTTCCCAATCAGGCTCACGCTGGCTAGTGAACAGGTCAAGCCAAAGTCATCCCCCCAAGAAGGGGCTGCTTGGTGGCACAGTGACAAACCCCGTTTTTCCTCCACATTCAGTCTAAAGAAAGGGGTGAGATGCTCTGAAAAGAAAAGAGAGAGTGAGATTTTGTCAGCGGGGCGATATCTGATGCTGGGGAGACCTGATACCTTCTGTGGAAAAACACTCGTGCTCCTTGGAAAATACCCGCTCCTGCGCAACCCACACCACAAGCACAAGGCAGCCCCTGGCAGCTTTCCCTGCCTCCACTGTAAGCTCTTTTTGGGTGCCCACACATCCCATAACTCCATCCAGGAAACCCTTAAAGCCACGAGGAGAGGGACAGCCCCAGTGCTGTCATCCAGATCATGGCTAACCTGGAGTTGTGAAATGCGATGAAGTCCACCTTTGCCCATGCACCAACTGCCAGCCCTTTCCACTGCCATCACCTTGGCACCTCCCTGTTCCCTCCAGCAGCCATGTAATGAGAAACCAGGCAGCAAAGCAAAAAGTATCTTTATTTACTACCCAGTGCTGCAGTTTCTCTCCAGTTTGATGAAGCCACAACCCAACCCAACCCTGTAAGCCCTTTTCCCTCTCACTTTAGCCCTTCTGGCTATGCTGAGGAAAAAGCCCCAGGCTTTCCCCCCAAGGCTAGACAGGCTCCCATAATGCCATTACCAGCTCAGCACATCCCAATGACCTTTCAGTTGATCCTTCCCGCACTTGTATGTCTCCCCCAGCAGGGACGAGCAGCACCCAGGCAGGAGAACTTGTACCTGCCTCACCATGGCTGCTGGAGCAGGTGCTACTCCCCCGAACAGGGTGCCATGGCACACACTGCCCATGACCAGCTGCACAGATTGCATGGGGCCTCAGCTGTCATGGCCAAATACTGCTCAGTATGACGAGTCGAAGCCCTCTGAACCCGTCCAAGGCTTAATTCTCCACTGGGACACCAGAGCTTTTCCTTTCTAGTTCGAGCATTAGGACAGGGACAATCTCCTCAGCTGTAGGACAGGAGTAAATTCACACCAATGGCTGAAAAAACCTTCAGATTTTATTAGAAAGCCTCTCTTACATGACATGGGACAGGAACAAGGCAGAGAGGGGGAAGTGGGTCGCTTCCCTAAAGAACAAGGTCCTATGTCTGCTAAGAGAGAGACTACAGCCACCACAGTTCCCTTCTTGCCAAGGCGGGTTGAACCAGCTTTGCTGGCTGATGTTCCTCCTCATGTGTCCAGGGAGAGCTCAAAGGCTTTAGGATGTAGCAGGAATGGCAGTGCTAGGCATGCTGGATGCCCAATAACCTGAGCACCAAATTAATTTTAAGGAGGGTTTGGACCCCACACAGTGTGCAAGAGGGTGATGCAAGAGCAATTTTTTGGTTGCACAGGTACCCTGTGTACCATCCTAGGAATCACATCTGAAGTTCCTCTGAATAACCTGCATCTGAGAGCAGCATGTTCAGTGCAGAAGAGGCTCAGACAAGACATTAGCACACACTGCTGGCCTCTCTTTCCCAGGGAGGGTCTGCTTTGCTCTCCATCTTCATGTCCCTCTCCTGCATTCCTCTGCATTCCCAGCACCCTACACAAAGCCAGGCTGCCACTAGAACAAGCTTAGGCACAAGCTGCCATTTGCAGGATGCTGCCTCTGCCTTGGAACTCCTGTGTATTCCTGCCTCACTGCTGTACCCATTCAGCAGAGAGGTCCAACAGACAGGGTCTTCTACAAGTGGCTGTGGTGTGCCAGGAGCGAGACTGAGGGCAGATCTGCAGTGGAGTCACCCTCCCATCTGAGACCATCGTAGAATATTTCAGGATCTGCTCCAGAATCAGCTGGATCGGCAATTACTGTCCAGCTGCTGGGGAGCGAGGGGCCAAGAGGCCACAATGCACTAAAAGGTCCAGTTGCCAAATCTCAGAGAATAGCTCAGGCATCCCTTATGTCCAGGCTTGTTCTGAGCAAACCAAACCACAGTGCCTCTTGGGCAACAAACATCTCCCCAAAAATGGAGACTAAACCTCTTGTCTGACCTAATTCCTTCTTCAGTCTGGCCTTCATTGCAATTTAATATGAACAGAACAACGTAGGAGGGAATTGACAGATGGCCTAGTCTGTAAAATTTGGATTTGGATGGGAAAAAAAAAAACCACACAAAACTCACTTCTTTGTGGAGCACTGCTGCATTTAAAAGGGAGCACAGCAAAAAGTCACCAGCCTAAACCCAGTGGTGTGTGCCAGAGGGAAAACCCCAGTTTGCACATCCCAGCATCCTTCACACTCCACCCCTCCTCCAAAAAAAAGTGAGCAGACTGATGTTTCGCTACTCTCATGACTGCCTGTGAGAGATGCTGAACATCTGCCTCTCTGCATTACTCCTCCCTGTGGACTGCCCCAGGAGAGTAGGGAGCTGACCTGGTTTTGAGCACAACAATCCTGAAGGGGCAGGATGCCAAACTCACATGTGCCAAGTGAATGCTGCCCCTGCCCACAGGGCAACCCAACCTCGTGGGAGGTGCCAAACCTCGCCCTGAGGTACCAAACAGCAAAGGAATAGTGGAGACCAGTGGGAGAGGCAGGTGCCTTGGCAGCTGAAAACCACCCAGGAGCTGCATCTTAGGCAGAGGCACAAGGATGAGGTGCCCAACAGGACCTGAAGGGAGAGCAGCCACTTCATGCTGTGCCACAGAAGGGCCTCGCTCTTTATCTAAAAGAGAAATGAGGAGATTTCCAACCCACAGCCTGGAAGAAGCAAGTTTCAAAACACAAAACTTTAGACCATTGAGCTGTCAGATGAATAAAACCAACCTAAGACCAGCTGTTTTGCTGTTTAGCTCAGGCTTGAAGAAAAAAAAAAAAACAAACCACAACACAACCTCACGATTCTTGGCACCTGGCTCGCATGACATTCATATGGCTGAGGATGGCAATACTGCTGCTATTTTTAGCATTCACACTTTTTGTCTTCATTGCTCATCCCCATCAGCAGCCCACTCTGCCCCACACCTGGGGTCACCTTTCTGCCTCCCATCCTGTGACCCAGGAGAGCCACCTGCCTCCTCTGCTTGTGGGACAGAGGCTGAGGCAGGCAGGGGAGCGCTGCCCACACCCCACGTCTATACATGTTACAGCGAGAACTACCGTGACTGTGGAAAAATCAAGCTGAAAAAGGTGAATGGGGTATTCAGTACCATTTACTCACCCCACTGGGGAGTAAGAGTGTATTGCATAAATTTTGGTATGCAGCCCAGAAACATTTGATTTATTGTACAAAAAAAAGGAAACGCAATCTTGCTTAACGCTTCTAAAGACAGCTGGCAGGACCCAGTGAAGGGATTTAAGTCCATTTTCGTAGCCTCACTTAACTCCTTTCTTTATTGTTCCTCTCTCCTTTCTGCATTCCCCTACAGAACCTGGAGTATATCAGGGAAAGTTAACAGCAAGTTAAGCTGTTAAATCAGAAATCGTGGTGACTGGAGTCTACTGGCAAGTGATATTCCCACAACACGCTGAACTTGCTTTATACCTTGGCAGAGCAAATTTAACCCTTTCAGAGCTGGGCCGCAACGCCAAGGCAGATTTCTTCCCCCTGTGCCCCCCACCTGTCCTGACCCCTCAGACAAACGTGCTTAGGGAGGCCGATATCACTTTGCCCCACTAAAACACTCATCAGCTTTTAAAAGCAAAGACAATCCAAAGAAGGATCGGAGAGGTCAGTCCCAGGACACGAGCTCAGAGAGGGTGGGCCACTTACAGTGCTCGTATGCACTGCTGGAAACACACCAACTCCTCGGTCCCTCTAAAAATAAGACCTCACCTGCTGTGTTTGCTTTATTTAAAAAAAGAAAAGTACAGAAATGCTTTTCTCTGGTGCTCCATGAGGCAAGCTGGGCTCATGCTGAAGCCTATAGGAAGCAAGGGGAAGACACGCACTGACAACGCCAGGTTGACTGGTCAAAGCAGCAGCTCTCCAGCCAGGCTGAAAAAAAGATCACCTGTCAGAAAAAGCCCTGGGACACACACGCAGACACATTTTTGCTCTCAGATTTCATGCGGTGGTGGGAGGGGACTCGCAGTGTCAAATCTTTTATCCCTTAATGAATTTTCACAGGAGCTGGGATAGCCCCTTTGAAAGGCTGAGTGAACTTGTGTGGGTGTCAACAACATGGAGCAAGATTTACAGCTCTGACCCATTCACCCCCACCAAAATCGTCAAGTTGGGTCCAAAACAGTGCAGTGGAGCTCAAATCAGAAGTGTCAGTCAGTTTTATACCTCCAGATGTCCTTAGCACAAAGTCACCCTCACAAAACCCCATGACCCAGGCTCCTCAACTCCACTCTAAATCAAGGCAAAAGGAGGAATAAAGGAACCCAACACGCTGAACCCCCCACCCCCACCCCCTACACACGCAACCTGACAATAAGCAAACCCAAAGAAAAATGGGCTTCAGCCTCCCAAGCACATCCCGGCATTTGGAAGAAAACAACACACTTTGTATAGGAATACTGGGTTGAAAGCAGCCGCTCTCCCGAGGTGTCTGTTTAAAACCGCCCACACAAACCTTGTTTTTACACTTGATTGCTCCACACCACCCGAGAGAGACCTGGCGTATCAGCAACCCTGCTGAAGTACCCCTGGCTGGAGGCGAGGCAGACACATCTGCTGGTACAGTTACACTAAATCCAAGTTCCCTCATGTGCCCCAATTCCCTACTGCTCAACAGAGTGCTAAAACCTTTCCAAGTTGTGCTCTTAAAACAATTACTGCAGGGAAAAGCAATTGGGAAGGAAGCAGAAGAAAAATAAAATTTAAAAAAAAAAAAAAATCACAGAAAGTCGAAGGCTCCACGCCAACCATTAACTCTCACTCCATTTTGGCTTCGCTTTCTTGTTTTTCCTCTCTGTATTTTTATCCCTCCGAGACCGAACACACCGCAGTGTTTTGCAGAAGAGAGTTTAATAATCTCTCCAGCCTCCGGAGCCGGGGAACTGCCCGTCCCCTCCCCGCGCGTCCCCCGCTCCCACCGCCGCTCGGCGCGGAGGGAGCGCCACGGGCGGCCGGGGGCCGCGCAGCCCTGCGTGACCTCGCATAGCCCCGGCCCGGCCCCCGCACGGCCGCAGCCGCCCCTCCGCCGCTCCCCACGCGGGACCGCGCCGGCTCCGCGCCGCGCCCGGGCGGTCCCGCCGCAGCATCCCCGCCGCAGCATCCCGCCGCAGCATCCCCGCCGCGCCGCCGGGTGCGGGCGGCCGCGGGAGGGACCCCCGGGGATGCCCCGCGCACCCCACCGCAGCGGGGCCGCCCCGCCAGCGGCGGCTGGGCCGGCGCTCGGGGTCCCTCTAGTGACACGCGTGGGGACGGCGGGCAGCGGGGCCGGCGCGGCTCTGGCCGGCGCGGCTCGGGATGGCTCAGCTGTGCCCGGGGCGGCGCGGCTCGGCATGGCACAGCACGGCACGGCACGGCACGGCTGTGCGCGGCTCGGCTCGGCATGGCACTGAGCGGCACGGCACGGCACGGCACGGCTCTGCACGGCACGGCGAATCCCACCGCCCTCTGCCCGCGGAGAGGCAGCGCGGAGCGGCGCTTACCTTGGCACTGCCGCTGCTACTCTCAACTTCTGGCGGCGGCGGCGGGCCGGGAAGGAAGGCGGGCTGCCGGCAGCGCTCATCCGTGTGTGCCCCGGCGCTTGACATGCTGCTCTCCTGCCCTGGCAGCGATCGCGGCTTTGGCTCGCCTTCCCCGGGCCCTGGCACGTTCTCCTCGCCTTGCCTTTTTGGTATGTCAAGTCACTGCTGGATTTTGTCTGAAGGATGTTATTTTGTTACGATCAGGTATTTTGTTATTCTAGAGAAAGAGCGAGCGAGCGCTTTCCTTTTCCTTTTTCTTTTTTTCCTGGGTGTTTTTTTCACCCTTTTTTTCTTCCCTTCTCTTTCTCTCCTCCTGCTTTGGCTGCCCCTTGAGTGGCTCTCACTTTTGTGTTTACTGAGTGCGTCCCCCTGGCCGGGGCGGAGGGGCCGGCTGCCTCACTGCCCGCTGCTCCCAGCTGGCTGCCCCACGAGCGAGGAGACAGGCAAGGCGCTTCGGCTGCCCCCCTTTTATACCCCCCCAATGGGCATGCTCTCCCGGCGAGCACCAGCCCGGCCACGCAGCCAATAATGTTGCAGAGCTGTCTAACCCCCTCTCTTCCCTCCCTCCCTCCCTTTCTTCCCTCCTTCTCCCTCGTAACCCTCCGGAGTCCAGCTCGGGGAGGGAAGAGGGGACAGAAAGTTTCTGCCGCACGATTTCTTTGCGGGCTGCCACGCCGGGTGGGGGCTTTGACCCCCCGTGCCAGCCCCAGGTGGGAGGTGGGCTGCGGGCATCCCCCGCCTCCCCGCAGTCCCGCAGGTGAGGGGAGAAGGTGTGTGGTCTGCGCCCCGAACCCCTGCCCAGAAATGCTGGGGGGCACCCCTTGAGCGCCTCTCGCTGCGAGGTGGCGAGCCCCACGCCCTGGCAGGGTAGGAGGGGGAAGATCGCCCAGCCCGTCCGCTTTCAGGTCTCCCGAGGTGCGCAGGGGCACAGGTGTCCGCGCCGGCCGCCGAAGTGCTCCGAAAAGCTCCCCGGCAAAGGCGCGGGCATTCCCGCACGGCTGCCCCGGCTCCCGTGCCTGCCCTGGAACTCCGTCCTGCCCTACGCGCCCCAGTGCGGGCAGGAGAGCCCCCGCCTCGGCAGCAGCGAGCCCCCGCACCCACCCGTGTGTGTCCGTGTGGACAACATGGACGCGGCCCCTCCGCACTCGGGTTTTGCACCTCCCGGAGCACCTTCCCGCAGCGACTCCCTCCCGCTAGGTCGCCTCTGCTTCCCGCCGACTCCTGCAAGCGAGCACCGCTGCCTTTAAGGCAAAGGGACTTTTCCCAGGCTTTGCCGTGCGTGTGCAGCAGCGCGGGCAGAACGCGCTCCCGCTGCTCCGCGCTGCTGCATGGCAGGCACACCGTGCTGCACCGGCCGGCACTCGCCTGCTCCCGAAGATCTGCCCTCCAAGCCTGTCCTAGGGGAAGGGACTCTGCTGGCTTTCCAAGGCCAGTCCCCGGGTGCCCGTACCCTCACCGCTGCCCCGGTCGGTGCCCCTCTGCAGGGGCGCGCCTACCAGGATGTGCCACAGGCACGCACCCTCTTGGAGCAGAGAGGAGCAGAGCTACCTAAGACCTGGCAGCAGGCTGGTCCACCTCAGGGAGCGCTGACCATAGATAGTGGTGTGAAAGGACAAAGATGTAGCAGTCCTCACCCCAGCATGCAATAAAAACTCCTGGGTTTTTTTCCTGTCTTTTCAAGTTTGCACTTTTTTTTTTTTTTTTTCCTTCAAGGATGGGGTTCTCGGTGCATCTCTGAACAGTTGGAATTGCCCTAAACATGCCCGATAAAATAGCGGTAGGATTGTCCTTTCTCACTAGGCTTTGGACATCCTTTCCTCCCCAGCATCCTTCTGTTCCCTGAGTTGTCCTCTGCGATATGATACTGCATATCACACCGAGCAGTCCTGGTGTCAGGGCTGTGGGCTTCAACCGAAACGTCGGCACACCTGGGAGAGAGGGTGGTGATGCTGGGGGAGTGGTTCCTTGCACGACAAACTCAACCACAGGCATCAAATCTCAGCTTCTACACTGATATTTAAACACCTAAATAAGTGACCTGACCATCAGAGAGACTGGGCATCTGTCGGCATGTGTCAGGGCTCCAAATTTCTCGTAAAAAGGGTCATCCTTACCTTGGGCTTTTGGAGTTTCTCCTGGATGCCCAGGACTTAGTAAATCGCAGTTGTGGGTCCTCACAAACCGCTCAGCAGAGGTGGTCTTAACAAAGAGCAACCACCTTTCCTTACTGCAAAAGCAGAACCCCATCAAAGGAAAGGACCCAACCTTGGCAGGGGGGTCAGCAGGGCTGTAAGCTACTGTTAATAGCTAAAGGAGCCCAGCTCCCTTCCCCCAGCTCACCACAGGGACCTCCTGAGAGTAGACAAAAGAAAGCTTGGAGGGTTAATCTCCCTGAGAAAAACAAGTGATTTTCCAGTAAACAACTGCAATAGCAAACAATGGGGGTGAAAAATAGCGATCATAAAAAAGTCGGCTTGGAGGAAGAGGCGACCCACTAAGAGAGGTGTCCTCTGGCTGGGGGAAAAACACGGCGGCAGTTTGCTGAAGATTCAGCAGCAGCAGCTACAGCAAAATAAACCCCACAAGTTGCCACTGGATCTACTTGTGTGTTTGTGCCTTTTGATCTTTTAATTGCTTCTTAGTTATCCTTCAGTGCAAATAAATAGTGCATTGTGTCAAGAAAGAAGAGGGGGGCGGGGAAGGGAAGAAAGAGACACAAAAGAAAGAGCTGTCGCCCAGAAGAGAAAAGGAACAGGTTCTTTCCCCCCACCTTTAAAGGAGTGAATATATCTGTATTGGGGGGAGCGGGGCGGGGGGAGAAAGGGGGAAAAGGGGATAGGATTAGAAATCAAAGAGAAATTGGAGAGAAGCACATTAAGCCTCGGGCATCCTTACAGTAGGAAGAAAAGAGGGAGGTGGTAAAACCCTTTGGGAGTTTATTCGGTGAGTTATGAGGGGATCCACGAGTGTAATATTGTTAAAGGTCAGCCTAAACCTAATTTAAACTAGGGATGTGTGACCTCCGCCCTTCATTTAATACAGTCATAAGGAACATTACACTGCAGATAGCTGGAACAATAGCTGCCTCCACCCCGAACTCCAGCCCTTGGCATTGCCTACGAGGAGGGCCTGTGAAGGAGAGCAGAAGGAGGACCAGTAAAACCAAGGATGTTTTCTCTGAGGGCAGAGAAGCAGAAAAAGAGGGATAGGAAGACCTGTGGCCCATAGCACAGATCACCAATGGTCTAGCAAAAACACAGCATCCTAGGAAGCATTTTTGTTTTAAAGTGGATGGGACTGCAGCAAAGCATCATCTGAAAACGTTGGAAATGCAATAAAAATAAACCACCGCCTCTTGCATTTGTCTGACCTCCATGGTCATCGGTACAGTTCAGGAGAGAAATCATGGTTCTGGGTTTCCATTAAATTCCTTGCAAGGAGCAAGGACAGTGTTCACAAAGCAAAAAGTCAGCCAAAGTGAGTTGAAACGAAGTGAATCTAAAGTGGGAGCTGAAATAAAAGTGATACTTGAAAGGTACCCTGAAATGACGAGGGAATGCCAGGGACTTGGAGAGAAAACCTTGCTGCTGCAACAGCTATGGAAGCACTGGGGCAGACTGCAAAGCCTCCTGACAGCACTGCCCATCTGAGCTGATCAAAGCGTCTCGTGGGTGGCCACCAACACGTGGCGTTGGACTGGAAAGCTTTCCAGGGAAAGGGGGAAAAACAGGAAAACTGGGGCCAGCCTGGACCTTGCAAACAGGGATGAGAGCTTCAACAAAGACAGAGGAATGTAAATAGCTGCAGAAATGCAGTGGTCCTGGGCCAGGGTGGATGTTAGTGATGCTACCAGGGAGATGAGCCAAGCAGATACCTTCAGGGAAGGGGACATTTACATGACTTTTCCCTTCCTCTCCACCTATAATCCAAAGAGGTGAAAGGTCACCTAATCCCAGCCAAACCAAGATACCCTGTGGTGTTCATTTGGTCTATTTCACAGTTACACCACAAATGACAAAAATGGGGATTTGCCCAGATCTGGGCACTCCAGTTTGAGATGTGCAAGATGAGATGAAAGGAAGGTGAGACTGGGCTGTAGGTTTGGGTCTTCTGTAATGATGACTAGAAGTAGTCATATCTAGTGAGAATGGAGAGTTATTAGCCAGAGTCCTATACACAGCTGTTTAATGGCAGAAGAATAACCATACTTGTCCTAGAGCATCTTTCAGTAGCTTTAAGAAAGCGATACTTTTTGCTTTGTACAACCCAGGAACCTGACAATAACACTGTGTCCTTGCATGGTAAGATATATTGATCTTGGGGCACACTAAACTGTTGGAACAAGAAAGATTCATTGGCAAAAGGGTATGTGATATATGGAAGGTCCCTGAATAAAATTGAAGTCAAAGAACTAAGAGTGGGAGAAATAATTCACCTGGGGCCCCTGGTCAACAAGAAGCAAACAAGAGCAGAGACTGGGCAGGTCTTTTTAGGACTTCTGGCACCCCTGGGTAGAGACAAAATTTTGAGGCCATGCTCCCAGCCTAGAGGGTTTCTGCTGCAGGATTGTTATATGGGCAGGAAAAAATGCGGTTGCCCTTGGGCATCAGCAGGGGACCTTTTTTTGGCATGTTCAGAGAGAAAGAGGGACTCTTATATCAATTCCTGCCTGGGTCTACTGATGCCTTGGAGCACTTGTTGGACTTAGGTGTTCAGGAGAGGTGTTGGTATATGAATCCTAAGGACCTGGAGGACACTGAGCAAAGCAAAAATGAAATTATTGCATGGTAAGTTATTGCACTGTGCCAGAGGAATTTGTGACAGTAGTAAAAGGCACAAGTGTAGTGTTTTCACCCCTGTTTATATGGAGGACAAACTGTGCATATTTTTACAGGCTGGACAGACTTGGTATTCTGGTAATGTCTTCTAAAATTCAATGTCCCCAGTGATTAGAGAAAAGCTCCAGTCTTAGCAGCCTCACATGGCTCAAGAGGCTGCAGGAAGGAGGATGTGGGATAGGGAGATGCCACTGTGGCCAAATTTAAGGGAGGAATCGAAAAAGTACAAATGCTGTTTGGCAAGTGAAGCTCAGTGGGTCTGTGTGTTGAGATGCCATCTGCAGCATGGCTCAAAAGAAGGAGTCCAAGGGGTCCCAGGGTCAGATGACCCCAGAAATGGAGAAAAATTTCTCCTTTCTCCCCATCATCTGCAGAAAGCAAACATCACTTGGTCATCCCTGGTTGACAAAGAAGACTCCGGCTCAGCTAATGGCTTCCCCAAAAGGAATTTTCAAGCAGGGTGGAATAGGGTACATAAGGAGAAATGCCTGCCCTATCCCCAACTTCTTTTCCTTGCAAAGGAAGCCCAGAAGGCTCCAAGTTTTGTCTGATTATTTGTGTCAAAAATGTGCAACAAATACAGTAGCAGAGAAGAAGATGAGTCTGTGCCTATATTAACAGCTAAGCACATCACCATTTCCTGTTTTCCTTATTTTTTTTTAAAGCATTTCATCAAAATACCCACTGGAATGTCATGGGGAAGAAGTGGTCCGAGATTGTTTAATGACCAATAAAAGCTTCAGCAGGTACAATTAGTTCTTCCAAGCACCAGCGGATTAAGTTGGCTCTTTATAGCGAGCTCTGAGTCAAAACATCTTGCAAATGAAACACGTTACAGGAGACGGTGGGAAATTTGGACTAGAAGCTCTTTTGGATGAAGACAGTGACCC